CCTCGCCCACCGCAGCCGCCCAACCTCTGCTCATCCCGGCACAGGCCATCGCTCCCGGCCCAGCCCTTGTAGCAGCCTCAGGGCTGCGGGGAAGGATGGCAGAGTTGATAAGCCAAGGGAGAAGGCAGGAGATTGGGCTATAAAGCAGGCAGAGGCTGGCAGTGATGGCTCTTGGGTTAATTCATCCATATATACTTAACAGCGCCTGCTGAGACGGCTGAGCTACCGCCTCTGGCAGGCACAGGCCATCGCTCCCGGCCCAGCCCTTGTAGCAGCCTCAGGGCTGCGGGGAAGGATGGCAGAGTTGATAAGCCAAGGGAGAAGGCAGGAGATTGGGCTATAAAGCAGGCAGAGGCTGGCAGTGATGGCTCTTGGGTTAATTCATCCATATATACTTAACAGCGCCTGCTGAGACGGCTGAGCTACCGCCTCTGGCAGGCAGGCTCGGGGGCTGACTCCATCCCTCCATCCCAGCTCTAACCTTTCTCCCAGCCCGCTCTGATGCCGTCCCTCTTTCTTAATAATATTAACACGCCGTCTTCTTTCGCGCTTTTCATCCCGTAGCGATACTCCTTCATTAACCTGCAGGGCGCTAGCGAGAGCGGTTGTTAACCCGCTCTTCTGGCTCCCTCCTCTCCCTCCCAGGGGAAACTGAGGCACAGAGAGAGCGGGGTTTGCGCAAATCGCAGCGCCGGTGTCCCACGGGCAGCCCGTGCCACGCAGGGATGAGGGAGCGGGGAAGGAGGTCCGTTTGGCCCCAAAACCCTCCCCAGGCTCATCAACGAGCCGCTTTCCAGTAGCCGGGGGTGGGTCCCTTGGGGAAAAGCCCCCTTTCCAACCTTCACCCCGGCTTCATGCTCCCTCTCCTTCCTCTTGCAGAGTCGGTGCCGATGGCGGTGATCATCGGAGTGGCCGTGGGGGCTGGCGTGGCGTTCCTGGTGCTGATGGCCACCATCGTCGCCTTCTGCTGCGCCCGCTCCCAGAGGAGTAAGTGTCTCCCCCGTCCCCGCTGCACCCCTTCGGGCAGGGCTGGGGCTAAAACCTTGGGGTGGGGGGCGAACAGAGCGGGTCAGGAAGAAATGAGTGGCTGAATTTACTGACGTCCGCTCCTCGTGTTGGTCTAGCAAATGTTCAGCGCCCCTCAGCTGCTAACGGCAGCCCTGCGGGAAAAGGAAAGGGTTTCGGAGCGCATGGAAAAACGTGCCAGGGTAAACGCTAATCCCCGTTAGCAGCTCGGGAGCAGTGCCAGGCTGTCCTGGGGACAACAGGATTGCAAAGGGACCTGCTCTTAATCCCTCCCTTGGAGAAATCCAGATGTCCAAGAGGGAGAAGCATCCTCGCCATGCCACGCCGGCGCTTAAAAACCCTCCTCGGTTTGTGCTCTCTGTTCTGCTTCTGGTTTAATTCCATTTTTCTCGACATAAAACGCGTATTTCCTAGTGGGAAATTACAGCCAGCGGAGGGGTTTTACGTGGGACGTGTGGGTTTTGAAGCCTGGCTGCGGTGGGAATGCAAGTTAAAGCGACGTTAGAGACGCAGGTAAAGGAGAAGGAGGGGTAGACAGTGTGGCATCGTGTTGCCTCATTAAAAAGACACCGGGAAATTAAAGGAGGATTGTTGGCTAAATGAAAAGGCATTAAACCAGGAGGGAGAAGAGCGCGATTGTCTGGAACATCTCAGGCCACGGGGGAGAAGAGGAGATACTCGACGGTGCTCCCAGCTCGGGAGACGCCGGTACGGATGCCGGGATGCCAAGCTCTCTGCGTGTGTGCCAGAAAACCCAGTTGTTTTTCTTTTCTTTTTATTTTTCCCCTCTCTTGATCGTTTGCAAAGCAATCAAAGACACCGGGCTCCTCTTGGATTTGGATATGAACGCACGGCCTCCCGCAGCAGAAATATGTTTAATTTTAAGAGCAATAATGATGCCTCTCCCTGGTTTATCGTTGAACTCTTGCAGCCTCCATTAGCAAATATTAACAAATTAAACGGGGTGCAGTCATTAATCTCGCTTTTTGGGTGCGGATTGCTGATGGACAGGGCCCCAGACCAGGCCAGGTCAACATTGCGGAGATCATTCAGCAAGGACGGACGTTTCAAGCGCCTGAAGAAAGCAGGGGCCAAGCCATGTCACCATGTCAATGGTCGGATGTAATCGGCCGTGCTTTCCCCACGCCGCATCATTCAGAGCCAGGGAGAGCATGTGGTTCATTATCTTCCACTTATTTGGTGTAACCAGATGGTGCGGGCTTCTTTACAGGACATACACTTTAAGACTAATGCCGTGACAACGGATCACAGATGTGGGGCAATGCCAGGTTTTAGAGTCCCTCCCGAGCTGGGAGCGTGCAGAGGATGGGCAGCTCTTTGGGGGAAAAAGCAGGGCTGGTCCTTCCAGGAGGGGACAACCACATCCCACCCAAATGCCTTGTGTGATTCACCTCTTGGATTCCCAGTGGTAAATCAGGGATAAGAGGCATTTGCCTCGCCAGGGCTAGGAGGATACGCATTGGGAAGAGGGTACTGGGGACGTGGTGGCACGGCAGTGTTTCCAGTCCCTTTCCTCCGCTGTGTTTCCAGTGCTGTCCCACTTAGAAAGGACTTTTTGGTCTCCTATATGCACCGAGCTGCTGGGTCTGGGCTCCTTCCCAGCATGCTCACTGCACCACTGCTGTTCTGCAGCTCCTCCTGCAGCGTAAGCCATAGAATCATAGAATCATCAAATCGTTTAGGTTGGAAAAGACCTTGAAGATCATCCAGTCCAACCATTAACCTCACACTACCAAGTCCACACTAAAGCAATTAAAGGTACAGTAGCAACTTCGTGTTTCCTGGCTTGGGGGCTGGATTATTTTTAATGAAAGCAAAAACTGGGAATCATTAAGGTTGGAAAGGATCTCTAAGATCATCAGTCCAACCATCAACCCAACACCCCCATGCCCACCAAACCATGTCCCCAAGTGCCACCTCTGCCCATTTTTTGAACCCCTCCAGGGATGGGGACTCCACCACCTCTCTGGGCAGCCTGTTCCAATGCTTGACCACCCTTTCTGTAAAGAAATTTTTCCTAATATCCAATCTAAACCTCCCCTGGTGCAGCTTGAGCCCATTTCCTCTCATCCTATCGCTAACTACTTGGGAGAAGAGACCAACACCCCCCTCCCTGCCCCCTCCTGTCAGGAGCTGCAGAGCGATCAGGTCTCCCCTCAGCCTCCTCTTCTCCAGGCTGAACACCCCCAGCTCCCTCAGCTGCTCCCCACCAGCCCTGTGCTCCAGACCCTTCCCCAGTTCCGTTGCCCTTCTCTGGACACGCTCCAGCACCCCAATGTCCTTCTTGTATTGAGGGGCCCAAAACTGGACACAGTCCCCGTTTGCCGTGCCCCGGGGAGAGGTCTACAGCATCCCCGGACCAGAGCACAGGTTCCCGTGCTTCCCGCAAGGCTACTTTGCTGTTTCGCTTGGGGATCAGAGCAAGCCAGCAGAAAGAGCTCATCCAAGAGATCAGCAAAGATCCCTGCCCTGATCTCCCTTCCCTCCCCAAAGTGAAATAGGGGGAGGAACAGCTCGAGCTTTTCCGGAGAGCCGGACCCAACCGGGGGTGCCAGCTCGGTAACAGATGCTTTGCTGGCTGCTCCCCAGGGCTGCTGCTTGGGAGGAGCAGGGTGCCGTGGTGCTAACGAAGCAAATTCTGGGTGCGGGTGGGGTTCCCTGGCCTGCGATTCATGCAGGGAGCAGGGGGTGCTGCTCGGTCCCCCATCGCGTGGCTCCAAAAGCCACTTGGAGCTGCCAAAACAGGGTCCCTCCTTGTTTTTTGGAGGAGCTGGGAGCATCAGCAGCTAAACCAGCCCACGAGTGACACTCGCGGTGCAAAACCCTGCAGGAGAGGACTTGGCTGTCCCAGGGCGACGGGCTTTTATCCCAGTTTTGCAGGTGCTAATGCAAACGGGATGCTGTGGCCGCTATCTCCAGCGGCAGGTGAGTGTTCGGAAGGAAGCAACACCAGCCTGGGAAGGTGAGGAAAGGACTTGCATCATGGCTAGCGGTGCGAAATCAGCAGCGGTATTACAGAGATCAGCTCAGGAGTGATGGGGCCAGCGGAGCGCTTTGATACCAGGAGAGGGACTCATTTCCTACCAGGATGACTGCAGATCCCTCTCCCAGGACAAATACCGGAGTGTTGTTGCCTCATTTAAAACAACAGCCTGCAAACAAAACCCCTCAGCAGGCTGCGGGGATGGCTCCGCACGGCAGAGGGGACAAGGTGACCCAGCAGGAACTCTGGAGAAGGCATCTCCCGATGGCTGCAACCGGCAACCGCGGCTAATGGCACTGGGGGAGGCGATTCCTGGCCTTGCTTTGGGGCGATGCAACAAAAAAAATGCACTGGGTGCAGACACACCGAGGCTGGAGGCTCTGGAAAAGTGAAAAAATAAAATAAAAAAAAAAGATTTTACTGCACATCTGTTGTTGTATCTTCGGTGACTTAATGGCCCAGAGTTATTTAAGGGGGAACACTCCTGGGAGAGGATGTGCAAGACAGTAATTAGCTTCTCCTTGTGATTAAAGACGGAGGCTCCAGCACCAGGAACGTGGTCCCAGCAAGAAAAAAAAAAAAAGAGCGAGCAGTGGTAACTTCCCAGCGAAACCCTTTGCCTTGCACCCTGAGACTTGGAGATGTCCGCGGGTGACAGCAGGGCTGCAGATATCGAGGGCGCAGGACGCTGAGGTGGAGTAACTCAAGGCTGGAGCTTCAAGCCTTCACGCTTCTCGGTTGCGTGATTCAGCCTGGTTTGCAGACAAAATCCCCATCTCCTCCTGCGTGGTCCAGCCTTTGCCGGACTGCGTGGGCGCAATCCGGGCTTGGCAGGGCACTGCCGGTTCTTTCAGCTGGAGGTAGATCTGACGAGCCCGGCGGGTCGAGGCAATTTTGGGGCCGGGGGGGGGTTGGCGCAGCCATCCGAGGAGGTGAGAGCCAGATCGTAGGCTGAAGCCCGGCTTCAAAGCTGGGAGCTGTTTAGATCTCGCTGTTCAGATTTGCATCCATCTCTGCTTCTCATCTCGGATTCACCTGGCCGTTTCTGCTCCTGCTGCTCGGCGTCTTTGGTTTAATTTTGCTAAAATGACTTCTTTGAAGCACGCCTGACACCTTCAGGGAAGGCGGAGAGTCGCTCCAGAAATGTTTCTCTCTGCCCTGCGTGAAAACAGGCTGCTTGGAGCAGCAGCCAGGGATGATTTTGTTGTTCCCAAAGCCCTGGCTACGTCTTTGTTCCCTGCTTGGCCTTTTCCATACGTCTCTGCACCCCAACCCTGGGGAAGGCATTTCTCAGGGGCTTCCCAGCACCAGGGAAGAGCTGCTATGGCCCTCAGGAGCCGCATCCCATGGGCTCCCCGAGCAGATGCTGTGGATCAGCAGGCTGGACAAAGAGCCCACCATCTGTTTGAGCAGCCCTGCTGCGGCCCAGCCCCGTTAAAAGCCCTGTGAGTATGGCAGAGACTTCACCAAGCTCCCAAGGGAATTAAAAGAGAAATCTGAGCTGCCTGGAGGTGGTTTCGCATGCCCGTACCTCCTGGCAATGCAAACATTGCTCCCCCAATTCGCAGATGCGCTTGCTGAGCCCGGGTTAATTTTCCCCGGTGCTGCTGGACGTCCTCGGCAACCGGTCGGGTCCCCGCAGATGCTCCGCCATCGCCTTTGACTAACCCCTTCTCCATCTCGCTCTTTGCCCAGATCTGAAAGGTGTGGTTTCTGCCAAGAACGATATCCGCGTGGAGATCGTACACAAGGAGCCGGCCTCGGGCAGGGAGACGGAGGAGCACCCAACCATCAAGCAGCTGATGGTAAGGATTTACTTCTTCTCCCCATAAGCAATTACTCTGGGTAAGTGTTTGACGGTAATGAGCCCAGGCACATGTAGTTCAGTGCCGTAATCCCCACTCCAGGCGAAGATGCTCTTCCAAAAATCTTGCTCTTGAGATACACATTCTCCTGCCATAAAAGCTCCTCGAGTGAAACTTTGCTAATGAGGAGGGAGAGCTGGGAGAGGTTTATTGCAGAAGCCCAGCTGCCCGCAGGGCTAATTGCAAAGCAAATTTGCCACCTCGCGTGGGGAAGGAGCTGCAAACTGCAAGTAGACACGCAATAGGTGAGCGCAATATAATAACGAGCTAATTAGCCAGCAAGAACCGCGCTCTCCTGGACGCAATTTAGAGAGTTATATGTGCAAAAATAATGTACGTGCATGTGGTTGGTTGCAGATTGCTAACGCCGGGGCCAGCCTGGGCCTGGGTCTGTAAGAACCTGGGAGGTGTCACCTTCCTGAGGCCTCTGCCTTTGCCCGAGGGCACCAAATGACGCAGGCAGGGCAAGATGCTGAGCACTGAGATCCCAGGAAATTCAGCTTCGGTCCATGGACCGGCGGGC